TGTGTGTGTGTGTGTGTGCATGTGTCTGCAGTAGAGGCTGAAATCCTGCACACAAAATGAAAACAATATTATTATTTCAAGGGACTGAAAATGTCCGGTCCATACATAGCATAGACAGCTTTTTCTATGCTTCCCAAATGTCCTTATATTTTGATCCACCTTCGTACAGCTACCACTGTGACACCTGGCCACGATGAATTCCTCCCTCTGAAGAAAAAAACGAACTTTGTCAGTGTCGGTGTCAGTGTCAGGTTCAGTGTCAGTGTTAGTGCCAGTGTCAGTGTAAGTGTCAGCTTCAGTGTCAATGTCATTGTCAGTGGCAGTGTAAGTGTCAGTGTCAGTGTCAGTGTCAGTGTCAGTGTCAGTGTAAGTGTTAGTGTTAGTGTCAGTGTCAGTGTCAGTGTCAGTGTCAGTGTCAGTGTAAGTGTCAGTGTCAGTGTCAGTGTCAGTGTTAGTGTTAGTGTCAGTGTCAGTGTCAGTGTCAGTGTCAGTGTCAGTGTCAGTGTCAGTGTCAGTGTCAGTGTTAATGTTAGTGTAAGTGTCAGTGTCAGTGTCAGTGTCAATGTCAGTGTCAGTGTCAGTGTCAGTGTCACTGTAAGTGTCAGTTTAAATGTCAGTGTCAGTGCCAGTGTCAGTGTCAGTGTCAATGTCAGTGTTAGTGTTAATGTTAGTGTAAGTGTCAGTGTCAGTGTCAGTGTCAGTGTCAATGTCAGTGTCAGTGTCAGTGTCAGTGTCAGTGTCAGTGTCACTGTAAGTGTCAGTGTAAGTGTCAGTGTCAGTGTCAGTGTCAGTGTTAGTGTCAGTGTAAGTGTCAGTGTCAATGTCAATGTCATGATTTCGGTCAGGAACTCACCAATAACTTCGAAGGTAGCGGAACAGCTGCTTGTCAAGCCATCCGAATTCTGCGCTACGTAAGTGACCCAGTATCTGCCTTCTTTCAGCCAGGAACCCGGATTAGGACCTGCAGTCCTTGAGATTCTGAAAGAGAACAGTCGTCCTTTTCAATGAAGCCGACGGTGCTATGCTCTAACCGCGATACCCGTTTCTTGGCAACTTCTTAAAACTGGAACATGAAACCTCCACAAACAAAACAAAACTAAAAACCAACTACCCCCCCCCCCCCCATCAAAAACAAAAATCAAACGTTTTATTAAGGACATGTAGGTCGATCTCGCTATTGTTAGGGAATATAAATCAAGTTGACCTAATCCTCCAGTTGCTTGATTGGCGTATATTTTTTAAATAGAAGCGCTCTTTGTGCGTTTACGTTTTTCTTGGTGATTACAAAGTCAATATTACATTTGAAGGTGAGTATTCGTCAATATGAATGAAAGCAAAATACGTGGAGAGCATTCAATTAGAATTTTTTGTTCTGTCTGTATCATTACTTTTTACCTTTACTTTTGCATTCTCTATTGCTAGTAAGCGTCGAGGAGAGAAGCAGTTTTTTAATGGTAGACCAACCCTGTAGCTCTTTCAATTGGGATGTTTTGTCTCTCAGGGTTCTATCTCACTGCATCTTTTGTGTGACCGACCTAAATGTTATAGGCTCTCAAGGGTGGCTGGCTAGGCGACATTCGTAACAGGTGGACACCATTTTATTCTCCGTTTTTCCTATGAAGAGCAGGCTGGATTAGATGCCAATAATTGCCCTTATTTCTTAATTTCTCTGCCTATCTCTTCTTGTGATGTTTAGGGTTGCGTGAAGACATTAAATCTTAAGTAGTTATTTTGCTTACTTTTTGAATACGAATTTCTATTTCTATGGTTATGTTTGGATCTATTTTCAGGGGAAAAAAGGCTGTCTCGATAGTTAAACCAGGTTAAACTCTTTAATCTGTTTTAGTTGTTTGCTATTGACCTAAATGTTTAGAGGACTAAATTTTAATCACTTCTGTTTTTGGTGTACCTATTCTCATGTCAAATTTCTCGTAACTGTTGTTCAGCTGGGTGGTTTTATTTTAGCGGCTTTGGTGATCTGGCTGAATGAGAAATTGGTCGTCTGCAAATAGAAGTTCATTCAGGATTTCTGATATTTGGATTGCGTCTTGCAAAGTTGTGCCAAAAAAACTCAGTATGCAAAGATGCGGACATAAAACGCACCCCTGTTGTACTCCTGACCTTACTTCGAACGAGTTCGTGTTGCCTTCTTTTGTTCTAACTGAGCTTCTACTGTTGGTTTACAGAGCCCTTTTATGGTCTGACAGTTTCACTCTGATGTCATTACTTCAACTTTTCAGTCTGTTTACTTTAGCCTGTGTACGGTTGCCCGTGGTGTAGTGGTTTGCCACATAATAATCAAACGCAAAAGAGTTGAGACAGAATACAGAAAACGTGTTGAAAGTTAAAGTCTAACAGAAAAGACTCTGGGTCTTAGCGTACAAGAAACAAGTATATAGTTTCTTCTACTGGGTCTATATTGAGTCCCTTCGTTAACCCCGGGTCTGGTTCATTTTGTTGGTGTTGATATCGCTCGCCTGCAGATATTGGCTCTGAATGAACAAGTCATATCAATTTGGTGACTTGCGGAAAAAGCTGGCCATTTTCTTTTTGAGGTAGGTGTTTTATAACCTGGTCAGCAGCATAGTTAAGATAATTTGGGAAGTAAGCTTCTTGCTTTTGACCCCCTGAAAGAAATACAACGTCAAAGCAGATATTCGGAGATATTCGATATACATTCTGCCAGGACAAAAATTGAAGTCAACTCTTTTCGGTGTAACTGCGAAGCGACAAACCGCTACACCACAGCGGCCGGTGCAAAGGCCTAAATAAACAGACTGAATAGTCGAAATATATATTTTTTAAATAGCACCAAAGAAAAGACTAAAGCAGTAGCTCGCCTTAGTAAACTGTTCTGGTTTACTGCATTATGTTCAAAACTGTGAAAAATAATTCTATCGTAGTTTCTTGATCTGGGGTATAGGTTGCATGTGGCCGAGAAATATTTTGTCAAAATTCGATTCTAAATTAAATGTTGAATACAAACCCCTCAAAACAAAACAAAATAAAACAAAACGAAAACAATTTGTTATCTCCCCTGAAACATTTTGCTTTCTAGGCGTAGAACAATAATTGAACAACTAGATCTAACTAACGACAGACAGGCTGGTATCTAAGAAGAAACTACTAAAACCTGACTCGAGACTAACAGAAGGAAAATGGACGAAAATATCTTACCTGTTCGCATCAGTAGAAGTTGCGCTATTCCAACTCACAAACTGAGAAATAAAAAAAGCCTTAAATAGAATAGGTTTCTTTGAGATAATAAAGTGTACGATGGGTCACCATTTCCAGAGAAAGAAATAGTAATTACATAGAGTTTAAAAAAAACCCAACGATTCTTACAGGTACTTGGAAAGAATGTGAAAAGTCCAAGTAAGAAAAAGAAAAAAGAGAAAGATTCTTACAGGTATTTGGGAAGAACGTAAAAAGTTCAAAGGCTGGAAGATCCTAATTATGACCTTTTCCTTATTAAAATAGTCCGTTTAAAGGCTATAATCACTGAAGTAACTGTTTTCGACAAGACTGGTTAAGCAGGATAATAATAATGTTTTGGCAGACATTTTCTGTTTAAGATATCAATATTTGAAGTCAGTTCGCTTACACATGTATCTGGTATCGTGGTCACATCGGGCGCTAGTCAAAATGAATGAAATCGAAGAAAAATGCATTTTCCCACCAGTTTGGCCATTTGTATCGTATTTTTTCATGTTATTTATGCCCATACTATATCAACACAACTCCTAGTGAATTTTTACTGAAAAAGCTTGATCACAGACACAACATATTAATATGTTAAAAAAATATCGTTTTCAAGGACTCACAAGCTATAAAAAACAAATGTTGCTATTCGCTCTCTAATTTTACCCATGAAACCAGGCAACTCCCTCCCCCTTCAATCACAAATATCTCGACTTCGATTTAAGAAAGATAAGTGGATTTTTCTTTCCTCAAAAGAAAGGTTAATGAACAAGCTTTCAGATGATCTAATAATTCTACGTTCTCAAATTTGACGAGAGCCTGATTCCATCACGTTGTGACACCTATATTTATGGCTGAATTATGGTATCTTTTATAGATATGGAGCGGGGCAAGGGGGGGGGGGGCTCATATTGTCCACTCCTTGGCTCCTTCTTACTGCTTTTCTTCAGATACGCCCCTGATCTTTTGTAGGAAAGATCTATTCCCAGCCTTCTTGGAAAAGGGCGAAAAACCTCGGAGGTCCCATGTTCAAGTTGCGCACGTTAAAGATCCCTTCGTGGTCCAAAATGATAAGAGTAGGCTTCGACCGCCACCAGAGCCAAATTCACATGGACTCATATGACCTCATGCAGTTGCCAGGGCCGAAAACACCTACAAAAAAATACGAATTTCGTGCACTCAAAACGTAGAAAACCTTATTAGGGAGGGGAGATATTTGGAAGCTTTGTATGCTTGGACCGCCTTGCCACTAAGTCTGTACATTATTTCGCAAATACAAAATTGGACCCCAAACCCCAAACATAAAGAAGTTTACTGAAAATATCTTAAGTATATTATTATGATGCATTGACTTTTTGCCTGAGTTGAAGTGATTGCACGTGTAATTGTTCTTTGAAATTAAGAAAGTCAGATATAGATCCTGCTAGAGACGGGCTTCGATCTCGAGCTGGGAGGAAATCAACGTTTAAGCAGAACGATGGAGATGCTCAATTTAAATAAAACAACTACCCCCCATACTGAAATCAGCGGTCATTGTATGCGTTATAGGCAACAAGTTAATAAGAAACAACTAGTAAAATCAGTTAGTCCCATGCAACTATATATATAATATATGTATATATATGTATATATGTATAATATAATATATTAATATACACACACATAATTTCTTGTTCTATTTCTGTGTCGCTTCAGCTTCACACTTCTCCATGGTAGCTCAGTAATAGAGGCTAACTGCACTGCACTCAGGCTTGAAGAGCAAGTGTTCATACACGGTGCTGCTGTCATTAATAATTTTGTCTTTTGCCCTACCTTTTGTGTTTCTTTAAAGCCTTGGGAAGTGCATTTCCAGTAATAGTGAAAGGAAATCCCTTGAAGAGTTTATTTCAGCTTAAGGGTCGAGTATCTAGAAGCACCGCGAAAATATAGGCACCATACTTACTAGGGATGCTACTCATAATGCAAAAAGGAATATAAAAGGAGTTGGGGGGGAGGGGGTGTTCTCAGTATAAAATATTTTTACTCCCAGTTCTGCTTCATATCATATAGTCCACTACTAGTCAACATCGTTATCGCCAGTGTCCACTTTTGCCATTCTGAAGAGGCTAACATTTATGTACCTCCCACCTGTATTTACAAGCGGGCATCAAATAACACGTGTCACTGTCAGGATGATCCCTATCGCCCACCAAAATAACCAAATGGTCCTCTAGTGGACGATACAGCTTAAGTTGGTAAGCCCTGATCAATACCCCCCACCCTCCAGAATAAAAGCAACCACCCCCCCAACCC